CAACCCAACCACCACCAACAACTCAGGCAGCAACAACCCAAGCACCACCAACAACTCAGGCAGCAACAACGACTGAACGTCCTTTTGAACCAATCTTTCGATGTGATTTCACTACATCATGTTTTGGGAATGGTGAACTTATACTATCTAATGGTAGTGAGTTCAATCCATCAACGCCCATTGCTACTTCTGAACCACCTCGAGCACCAGTCTCTGGTGCCACATCAGTTAGTAAGTCTTATTTATTTTCACATTCAACATCTATATACATGCATATTCTCTCATATTACAGCTAAACCAACAAACAACGGTTACTTATGTAACTTACCTTATCGACCATCGGAAGATGATGATAATACCACTGCTACTAACTGGGATATGTGGTTCTGTAATAATCATCAATGTCCAACAACAAATGGAGAAACAGCAGAATGTATAATAGGTAAATATCATTTAATAATCAGACATTTTTAACAATAACAGTGACAAAAGGGAATACTTATTTTTGATACTATCTATATGTATACATACTATTATATAGATGGTATGATGAAATATTTCCTTTTGAGGTTTATGAGAATTGTTAAGGATCTATCATACATATACAGATTATATGATTTTATTATAGATTATTATGGTCTTACATCTCTTCAACCATCAGAAACAATGAAAACAGTCACTGATTCACTCATCCCTAATGTTATGGCACGAGATGCATCTGGAGATCAATGTCTTCGTTTTTATTATTATTTTACTGTTTATGATGGAACAGATTGGGGCCAACAAATTCAATTGCTAATAATACCAAATGATCCAGCTCAACTTTCATTTTCTATTGGAACTATCACAACAATTGATATGCAAGAAAACAAATGGCAGTTTAAAGAAATAACATTCAAATCAGAATTGTCTTCATATGAGGTAATACCTCTGAATAACGTAAAACAAGAATGAATGTAACTTTTTCTATTTATATAGTTGCAATTCAATTTTGAAGTCACTGCTGAAAATCGAACAGAAGATGCTGAAATGAATCGAACAGTGTATTTTGCATTGGATATGATAGAATTGTATGATTACAATTGTTCATGTGAGTACAGTGAAGAAAATACATAATGCAAGTAAAAAGTTATTACTTTTTGACATTGTTTAGATGTTCATAATGAACTAGAAGCAACAACAACAACAATAACAACAGTATCAACAACACCAGTGCCAGCAGATACAACTACAATTCCGGAAACTACTCCCCCAGGTAAAGATGAGTAATTAATAGTTTGATTGAATGTTGAATTATTTTTGTGTTTCATTGAAGATGGACCAGATTTGGCATTAGTTCTCGGTCTGTCTTTGGGTATCGGTATTCCTGTATTACTGCTCATCGTTGGTGGCTTCATTTGTTATTGCAAAGCACGTCCATGTTCAAACGCCGTTGAACCCGTTGATGATACTGACACTTCAGATTCTACTGACATTGCTATGCGGCCGATTAATACGAAAAATAAGAACAGTACTGTAGCAGGTTTAGTACAAAATGTAGTTTGATTTAACTTTACAGTTTTGATTTTTTTGTATACATAAGATTTTGTAATAAATGTATAAACACGAAAACAATTGTTTTAAAAATTACTTATACTTCGTTTATAATGACTGCTTATGATGAAAAGAACAGATGGAACACATTTTTCAGAAGATATATAATGTTTGAAAAATGATATTGCTTTGTACAGCAATTATTTGAATGAAAGATTTTGAGACATTACATATAAATAAGTACTTTTCAAACATACAAATTTGATTTATATGTTAATTAAGAGTAAAAGACTCATTATTCTATACATATATACAAACTGAATGAAAATTGCAGATCTTTACTGACAACTAATTTATATAGGATTGATTATCTTTCATTTAATCCTTCTGAGACGGTTTTTTTGAAAAAATTAAGCGTATTATTAGAGTTAAAATAGATGTTTATTCAATCAAAAGTATTTTAAGGAATGATAAGCTTGAAAACAATTAGTTAAACACCATCCAACATTACATTCTTTACACTGGTATCTTATGTATTTGATTGATTTGAGAAATACTTCAGGTTGTATGTATACCACGCCCATCCCAAAAGAGTTAAATAACTACTTGCATTTACTTTTCTTTTTATATATCCAAAGGTAGTATATAGTTATTTTGAATATAATCATGTAATGTAGCAAAATTCAAATTACATACATCGTAAATTGAAAAATAAAATTCAATTTTCTTGTCATACGTAGAGAAATTCATCTTATAATGAAAAAAAGTCTTAACATACTATGTCTTCTACCAAATTATGCAGGTATGAATTCTCTTAAAATTTTTTTCACAATCCATATTTCATTATAAAAAAGACTTCATTAGCTATTCTCTTACTGTATTTTTTGAAAGTGAAGTATATTTATGATGGAGCAAATACATATACGATCAAGAGATAAACAAAATAATATTCATCATTTACGAGCATTGAAACCACAAGTGACAAAACTTTCTCGACAACATCATCATATTCGTCGATCATATAATAATCAAGTGAACTTTTTCTCTTAAATAGTTTTGTTTTTTTATTAATTATTTAATTTAGCATGAAAATCAATTTAAAAATAAATCAAAGACTATTAGAACTAAACGTCATGTATCGTTGGTAAGAATGATAAAATATTTATTATTATTATTGTAGTCTCTTTGTTTTTTTCTTTGAATAGGTTTCGGATAGTTTGACAATACATCCTTATCATCAGAAACAAAAGAAAGAGTCTCTAGTTACGGTTAAATCAATTAAAAACTCCAGAATATTCGTATATCCTTCGAGTATTATAACCAACGACAAATATGAAAGTCCAATGTCACAAGTAAATTAATAGACCTTACAGCTTTTTTAGCTGGAGTGTAGTTTCAATGTTGATACAAGATTTTTTTAATCTCGTTCTTTCTTTCTTTTTGTTATAGTCGAGTAATAATTTCTGGCATAATAATAATTCAGAAACAAAAATAACAAATAATACAGCAAGTGATATTACACGAGATGATGAATTGGATTTATCCGTCAA